GAGTATTTGCACAGTAATTACCTCATAAAGTACTTTAAATTTTGTTTTGTTGCTCCTCTAGTTAACAACTGTAGGCCTTTTGAACCACTGACATAAGAGAAGCTACAAGTTCGAATATATTCAAGTCAAACCTCAAGAAATTCCTGTTTTCTTGATTTGCTGACCTCTTACCCGAAACCTTCACTTAGAAATTCTGGGAATAATTCAACCATTTATTTAAGTCAGTTTATTTTAGCGTATGTAAGTGTAGTATAAGATTATAGTGTCCTGTGTACACTAGTCCCGGTCGAGTCGTCGGCGACTAATCCCGGCAACCCCATCTGGGGGTCTTTAGCGGCCTCCGATCGGAGTGTGGATGGACACCCAGCAGCATAAAAAAAAAAAAAAAAAAAAAACACAGCTGAAAACAAAGGGCGGATGAACTCCTCGGAGCCAACGGCCAACCATGCCTTAGTTTAAGGCATGGTTAATAACATCAACTTTTTAGTCCAGTCCGAAATGTAGCAATATCAGAGGTTGCATTTTTTTTTTGCTATATTTAAAAAAAATTGGATATGATGTAGAGTAGACATTGATAAATCAAAAAAGTATGTGCAACATTTTTTTTTTCATACGCAAGGGGGTTGCCAGCAGTTTCAAAATGGCCGCCATTTTTTCCTAAAATTGTCACTAATATTGTAAGTTTATGTTATTAAAATGCAGCATTCAATTGGAAATTCACTCATAACAATGACAACAACAGTATATATAATGTGTGGGTGTGTGGGTGTGTGTGTATGTTAGTATTATATAACCTTATTACATACTGTGATTTACTTATATTTAGGCCTACCTACTTCAGTGATTTTATAATATGCTAATGTTCATTATCACTTTCTTCATCACTATCACTCTCTGATGAATCAGAAACACTCGACAACAATGGAAAGTTGTTGCAGAAACTCCCTTCCGCTTCGCAGTTACACATCTCAGTACACTGAAGATTATTTCTCCTACACGTGCATGCATTATTTGAACATCTACATATTGAACAGGTACATCTGATAAGCTCAGCAATTGTTTCAGGGGCAGCCTGCTTTTCTGACAAGACAGGTTTCAATTTACCATCTTCCATAACCCAGCCCAGTTTGCATGGATCAGGGATTTCTGGATGAATAACAGTATCCTGGCTCCATATATTGGCCAGCAGATGTACACGCAATATATGCTGATATAAGGCTCCTGCAGTTGGTGGCAGCTTATCTACACCTTGATTGTTTGGCAGAGTTTTGAATCTTTTCCATTGTAAAGTTGAGGCATCTTTAGCAGATACTTTCTTCGTTACGAGAAGACTACACAAATTCCAGTATTCATGCCAAGCTGTGGAAGTCTTCTGAAGATCAATACAAGCCAGTCTGTATCATTTCCAGATTCAGAAGCCACTTCTATGCCATGGGGAATCATTAGAGTATCAGCTTCTTCTTGTGTGCTTACAGCTGTTGTTGGAGGATGCTCTGGAGTGTTTGTTTTGACATCTTGCCGTGTGAATTGTGATACACATCTAGATGTGTATAAGAGAAGAGGTACCGCTGAAACCAGAAGAAGAGTGGCTCTTCAGCCAATATACGATCATCTTGGACCAGAAAGAGCAGTGACACTACCAGGCTTCGATGCTATCACCGGTTGTGATAAAAATTTTCAGGCCCGTAGCCAGGTTCTTTCAAGGGGGGTTTTCTGGGCGTGAGGTCCATGGTCGAAGCCCCGGTGGGGTCGGCGAAACCCCCAAAGCAAGGGGATTGGGATTTTTGTGCTTTAGGGTCTAAATAATGCTATAAAAGCAGATATGTTTGAAAAGGTCTTTGTCTGGGTGGGTCTGCAGTGCACC